TCTGTAGAGATACCACCTCAGAAACCCAAGGAAAGGTCGCTGTGAGCCAGACTCGACTCGATGGCACTGAGTTTGGTTTTCTAGGGGCTTAGATGTGGTAGTTAAGTATGTATCAGCTTGTCTAGGCCTAGTTTTGAGTGGCTGGGCAGCTGAATGTAGTTATTCCCCATGATGAGACTGGTAATCAATGCCATAGTGGAATCCACTGGAGCAGTGGAGTAGCTTCCTTAAGAATGTGATCTGCTTCCAGTATATAAGAAAACAGCTTTGATAAAGGTCTCTGGAGCTTTTTATGGCATGCTTGGACCCTGCATGTAGCCGACTCTTCATTCAGCAGCCTGCCATGTTGTCTGCTGATCTTCAGATTGTAACTGGACTTGAACCAGTGACCTGCTGTGTTATGTGATAATCTTGGGACTGTGCCATTTTACTTGTCTACCTTGGGCTTGGGCCAGCAGCTGCCTGAGTGAAGAGAGATGCCTCCAGCTCCAGTGGGCCAGGAGCAAGAGGCAGAGCTAAAGCCCAAGGCTGAGGGGCTTTTACCCAGCCCCTAGAGCTTGCACTTTGAATTTGGACTTCCAGCCTCCTAAACTGTAAGAGAATAAACTCCTCTTGTTACAGCCACCCATCTGTGGTATTTCTGTTAGAGCAGCACTAACGGTAACCAAAATAGTAGACTTTTCACTGTTGTCGTAAATGTGAAATGTCAGATAAGGAAACAGTCAATACTTGAGGAATAGGTGTAATTAGCATCTGGGGATTGGTGGTTCAATGGTAGAATTCTCATCTTCCATGTGGGAGATCAGGATTATGTTCCCAGCCAATGCACCTCATGTGCAGCCATCATCTGTCTGTCAGTGGAGGCTTGCATGTTGCTGTGATGCTGAATAGAGTTTAGTGGAACTTTCAGAAGAGATGATCTAGGAAGAAATGCCTGGTGATCTACTTCTGAAAATCAGCTGATGAAAACCCTATAGATCACAATATGGTCCTACCCCATTGTGTATAGGGCTGCCATGAGCTGAGAGCCAACTCGATGACAGCTAACAACAATAACAACCAAAACTAAACCCACTGCCATCAAGTCAATTCTAACTCTTAGTGTCCCCCATTAGGTTTCCAAGGCTGTAAATCTTTATGGAAGTAGATTGTCTCATCTTACTTCCACAGAGTGGCTGGTGGATTTGAACTGCCAATCTTGTGATTAACAGTCAAATGCCTTAGTCAGTGTGCCACCACAGCTCCTAATTACTTGTAATTTTAGATGAGGCGATAGGGTGGGGAGAAGTGGGGAAGGATGCAAAGCAACAAAATACCAATGCTGGTTAACTCATTCATTTATTCATTTACTCAACACATATTTATTGAGAACCTACTATGTGCTAGTCACTGTTCTAGCCTCTAGAGATAAATAATTTACATGTTGGACAATCTTCAGTGCTTGTATCATAATGGGGAAAGACAAACAAAAAAGATGAAGACATTATAAAAAATGTTTTGGAGGACAAAAACGTGGGAATGTGACAGAGAATTAATGGGGGGATAGGACTTTGGATGCAATGGTCAGTGAAGATCTTTCTAAGGAGGTGATATTTGACCAGAGTCAGGAGTGATGAACAAGTGGAAAGATCTACAAAAAGGAGAAGGCCCTCAAGAGATGAATTGACACAACGGCTGCAATGATGGGCTCAAGTATAGCAAGGATCGTGTGGATGGTACAGGACTGGACAATATTTCATTCTGTTGCACATAAGGTCAGAGCCAACTCAACGGCACCTAACAACAACAACAATCCTTACCCTAGTTCCCCTCACTAGAGGGAGTCATAGGAAATAGCTTTTAATAAGATGTGAGATACTAGAGAATATTCTGTTATCAGAAGGGGAGACTGATGATGGAGAGCATAATTACAAGAGTGAAGTTCAGGAGCAGGTAAGGGGCAGGGAGTCCTGAGTCTAGGGGAAGGTTGGCCTTTGTGGGAAGCAGAGTACTTGGAGCACGGCTGCAATAGGAAAGGCAGGAGTGAGGACCGAGAGGCAGGGCAGGGCATATCTGGCTCTCGGAGTGTGTGTAGTGCGGGTGTTGGTCCTGATTGCCTGCTGATTTTCCACAATGAAATCTACTCTAAACACTGGCACACTTGTCCAAATGATTTGCCAGCCAAAACCATTGCCCTCAGCTGCCAAGTGAGCTTTACTCTGATTACATCAATACCACCTACACAGAGAAAGAGAGAGAGAACCTGTGCAGAGAAGCCAGGCAGGGCAGGCCTCAGCTCCAGAAAGTCTCACCCCACCTGCCCCCACTCACCTACCTGGCCCCGCTGCGCTGATGCTCTGATCCCTCCATGCTGTGTCACAGACTTCCCTCAGCTCACTGTCCCCCTGATCCTGGGCCCTGTCCTGGATCCCTAGGCCCTCTAAAGCTAGACCCCTGGTTCCAGATGGGCCTGGCCCTGGCTTGACAAAGGGCTGGCAAGTGACTTTGTCCTCCAGAAGCAGCAAACTGACCTAGCTTTCTGTCCTTCTGCCACCATGGGCCACACTCTGAAATTACTGTTGGAAAGATGATCTGCTGTGGCCCCTGCACCTCTCACTCAGACCATCTAATCAGAAGCCTTGGGCTCAGAACACTCCCTGATAATGGAGGCTGAGAACTGAGCTTCTCTTTGTTCCAGTTTCTTCTTCTTCCTTATCAGGAAGACTCCTTCCCTGTTTTAGGCCTATGAGTTCCTCTTTGTTCTACTTTTGCATGTGCATAATGTAGCACCTGATCAAACTCACTACTCTATCTGTTCCCACTGGGGAGGGAATGAGGTCTCCCACCTGCAACACAAGAGGGGTGTGTGCAGAACACCAGTTCTGTGCCAGGTCTACAGAGTTACCCACTGGCCATGGGGAGAAATGCCCTCAGAAGCTGACCTTGCTCTGTCTGTTCTATGTGAATGAAGTGTTTGTCTTAGTCTTTTAGTGCTGTTATAACAAATACTACAAGTGGGTGGTTTTAATGAATAGAAATTTATTTTCTCACAGTGTAGGAGGCTAGAAGTCCAAAGACTGGCTCTAGGGGAAGACTCTTTCTGTATGTTCTGGGGGGAGATTCACATTCTTCTTGGCATTCCTTGGAGATCTCCACATGGCATCTATCTTTCCCCATCCCTGCTTGCATGCTTCTGTGCCTAATCTGCTCTTTTATATCTCAAAAGTGATTGGCTTAACAAGAAGAATGAAGAAAACCAAAATTCATGGAAACAATTAGTTGTAGTGACTGGTACACTATTCGATCTGCAGCCTATATGACTATGAGACCAGAAGAAATAGATGGTGCTTGGCTACTACTGTCAACCACTTGGAAGAGGATCTTTGTAGGAGATTCTGGATAGACAGGGGGAACAATGTGGAACAAAACTCAAAATCATTTGAAAAAAAAAAAGCGGGGAACAGGTTTGCTTGTCTGATCAAGCCTGGTGGAACCACTGAGACTATGGCCCCTTGCTGCCCTTCGGGTCTGGAATTAAATGCACACCTGTGGCTTCCAGCCAAACAATAGACAGGCGTACTAGTTGAGCATTTACCTGAGGTAGATATACTCCTTGGAGAGAACAAGCAAGAGAGAAAGAAGGGCTGCTCAGGCACAGGGAGACAGCTCAGGGGGTAGGAGTGCATGGAGGGATGGACACAGGGAAGCGGTAACTATAGGGAGGAAGTGGGAGGGGAAACATTGCATTGTGCTAAATTATGGTCAATGTCATGAGACAAAGTGTATGTGAACTGCTGTGTGGAAAGTGTATTTACTCTGTAAATTTTCACCCAAATCACAATTAAAAAAAAAGTGATTGGCTTAAGACACACTCTAGACTGATAGGGTCTCATTAACATAACAAAGAAAAATATTACATCCACAGGTATAGGGGTTATGATTTACAACACATAATTTTGGGTACACAATTTAATCCATAAGAGCATTTTTCCATTTAATGACTGTGTGTGAGTTGTGTCTTTCTTGGATTTTGTGTGACCATGGATCTTGGCTCAATAATTACCTTCTGTCTCTCTGACTAAGAAGTGAGCTACACAATCTCACTGATGGGGTTCCTGCTTTAGACGCCAAACACAAATTGATCTCTGGCCTCTGTGCCACTTGTCATCAGATTTACTTTCTGTGGCCACTCCTCTGCTGGACAAAGATTTGCACACCAGTAATGACGCTGATAGGAGCTCTGATAGCCTAGTGGCTAAGGCATTTGACTGCTAACCAGAAGGCTGGCGGTTCAAACTCACCAGCCACTCCTCGGAAGGAAGATGGGGCAATCTACTTCCAT